TCAACCCGCTTTGACGCTTTCCTATCCAAAATTCGTGGAGGTATAGATTATGCTTAGTCTCTTTCCAAACCCTCATGTAATCATTGGATGACTGATAGTGTATTAGCGTTCAGTATATGAATATATTGGAAGAGGAATTTCACATTTCTGTAAGGTTGATGATCCTCGAGAGGAGGAGCATATTCAACGTATGGCAAATCTTGGTGTTCCCTTTCAATGTCTCTTTCCAGATGGCTGCAGTTACGTTTTTTCACGGGGGAAAATGGCAGAGAGGGAATAGTGGAGGAGGGAAAAGACCTCCTTCCATTTTTGATAACAAGCCTGTTGAAGTGAGGATTAGCGATGTTGCTGTGTGCTTTTCTTCCCATGTTTGTCTACTGTTGAAATGGCCAAAGGATATAATGATGATGTGTAGTGGGAACGAGGAAAATGTGGGCGTAGCAGGAAAGAGGAAAATGTGGCCGTCGAATAGCAAACGCAAACATTCATAACAGATTTGCATTTCCAGCTACGTAAAATAAAAAGTTGGCAGTAAGACTGGGATGAGCACACACCCAAGCCATAAAAGCCGGCCAGCAGGACTGGATAATAGTCAATTAGAAACACAATCTCATATTTCATACACTTTGCATACTCTTTAACGGCGGCTTCTTGTGAACTTTTAATTTTTATCACCTTCAATATGACTGCAAAATATCAAGATCTGTATGTCGCTGACAGCCTCATCATACATTGGTATAAAGGTACCTTCAATATATACCACCATAACTGCGTTACCAGTTTAGTTACTTAGATGGACCGACGATAATTACAGACAGACATAATTACAGAGGAAGCTAATTAAGGTTTTGTCCTGTGATGTGATCATAACTGTTCCGCTATTTAAGCTATTTAAGGTTACTAGAGGCTGACACTTAGCAGTGGCAGCAGGCACCTTGCTTGCTGACAAATACACTGCTTTGCACCAATACGATGTGACTTTTTTTTCGTAACAAAGGAAACAGTGTTCAAGAGCTATAGCGCTACATAGTTATGTATATAAACATTGGAGCTGGCGCTAAGAAAGAGACGACGATATCATGTTTTGAAAAGACCAATTGTTTGCACCGGTTTGCTCGCTCGCGTGCACCATATGCATCCGTAGAAAGTTTGTACATGCTTGCCCGCTCGCGTGCACGATATGCAAGAAAAGAGCCCCATGGCCCCTGGAAAGTTTGTTTGTTCATGCTTGCTTGCTCGCGTGCGCGATATGCAAGAAAAGACCCCCATGGCCGCTGGGTAGTTTGTTTGTACCTGTTTGGTATTTATGACCCTGGGAGACCTTGACAAGCAAGGTGATTAAGGTCTGTTCTTTTCCGTTTCGTGTTCGATCTTCCGTGCCAATCAGTTATGTATATTTTTGATAGATGATATATAAAGTAATTCCCTTTCCCGAATCAGGGGTGATTGTTTGTTCATTGTATTTGGCATGAGTTGTTCTCCCTCTCTGCTCCCGACTACCATTTTCCATCTACCTCTTTGCTCCCAAATACCATTAATTATATCATTATGAGTACTCATTCTCAATCCCCTGAACCATCTGCCCCACTTTCCAGTCAAACCAAGCACCATGGGTCCGGGAGGCATTGGACTGATGAAGAAAGTGCTCTATTGGAAAAACATCGGCAGGAGTACAGAGACGCCAACGACGCTGCTCGTGCTGAGATATTTTCTCGAGTTTTGCAAGACATGCTCGACATACTCCCCAATGGAAAATCGTTCAAGAAGGAAGAAAGATCAGCTGTTAAAAAAGTAAGTACTTTTTCCAGGGGCCCTCTAATTGATTCCTGACGGACTTGTAGGATATTAAAGAGTGGTTTGCCCGGTACAGTCGTAAGAGAAGTCAGAAAATGCCGAGGATGGGAAAGTCGTGGCATGCCCGGCATGTGTTCCAGCATGAGAACAAGGACGCCATCGATACCGAAGCGAAAAGGCTTTGTGCCAAAGCCATTGAAGAGGGACAAAAGAGGCCTAAAGGGGGAGATCCCACTCATTTTTATTTTCGGGAGCGGGTCGTGACTCAAATGATGGGAAAACTGAAGAAAAGGGAGAAAGACGTACTGCAGAGGACGGCCGAGGAGTACAACAAGAAGGGAGTTGACCCGGAACTCAAGTCCAAGTAAGTTAATTTTCATTATTCTAACGTTGGCTTATCTGGACCTTTGGTAGACTGGCTGTAAAGAACTGCACGGCTCGGATGCATGCATTTTCCAAGGAACTTTATGACACAATGGGTGTCTGGGTCTTTATCTTAGGATGTTATCTGAAGCCCAATGGTAATTTGGACGTCTCGACGTACGACTTCAATCAAGAACTCGGCAATGGGAAAGACTTTATTGATAACCATAGCTGGACTTTCCATGAGGAAGGAATATCGGTATCTTCTTGGAGAGCACACAATGAAGAATACTATGGGTTGGAGGATCTTGCTTTGGCCAAAGGAGGACACCGATCCCAGGGTGCTATGACTTTGGAGAAGAACCTATACCTGGAACCTATTCTACCCAATCCATCGAAACCACCACTTAAAACTTCCCGTGATATTCAAATTTGGCGGCTGAATGTTCTTCGTACATTTGTCAACCAGCACTATAGTAAGCCGGTCCCCAGAGATTTCTTGCCCTGTATCACTAAACATTTGTCTACTTAGATCTTGCAGCTGGGCAGAGTAAGGGATCGGCTCCTTGGACGGCTATTGGATCAAAGTTACTTGACTTCATTGATCTAGAATATATACCCCCAGCTTGGAGATCAGTAAATGGAGAAGGTAACAACTTTTACAAGTTTCTTGATCCCTCCAAATTCCCGATGGAGATGGTCACTGAAGCTCTCCAGTTTTGGTATGAACGTCAAGAACAACACAAAGTCGCCTTTCGATTTAAATCCTTTCTTGAGGGGAAAATGCTGCTGGAAGCACCTCCATGAAGGAAAATCAAAGTTCACGTTCCTAAACCTCATGTTCATAGTGTTGGGAAGGGCAAGAAGCCCGGCAGAAGCAAGGGTCAAAGGAGAGGCCGGGCAGCAACCGAGTCACCGTCAGATGAGGAAGCCAGGCCAAAGAGAAAGGAAGGGGTGGAAGATCGGCAGTTCGATGACAACAGTTGGAAGGATTTGGATGTGGACAAGCCGGCCAAGAAACGAACCGAACAGTTTTCTAAGGATGACTGGACTCCTGATTGGGATGGCTCCGATGACGATGGAGAAGACTTGGACGTGGAGAAACCAACCAAGAAACCAACCAAACAGCATGACGAACATCGTGAGGATGGCTCCGATGATAGTGACTCAGACTCCGATAATGGTCAAGAGAGGCCAAAGCAGGATACTCTGACCGAGCCCACAGTGAAACCTAGCAGGGTCAACCCGACCTTGGAAGAGGATAGAGACTCGGGATCAGATTTGGGCTCAGACGATGCTACGATCA